CCCCCGACCCCTCAGGCCTCACCAGCACTGGGCTGGCTCCCTCCAGAGTTGAAGCCGCGCACCCAGCGGCCCTGGAAGATATGGATGTGCCAGCCACCCCCAGCCGGATCGGGGCCCAGCACCTCTGGGCTCAGGGAGCAGATCTGTACGGTGTTGAAGTGCTGGAGGAAATCCTGTAGCTCCATCCTGGAGGGCACCCCAAATAGCTCAAGACCCCAGAACTGACCCCCAATCATAACACCCCTCAGGTCCTTAAATACTGCCCAATCTGCATCAATCCAGAAATCACCAAGCCATGAACGTCCCCCAGATGTCCAACTTTCAGAAATGCCCAGGCATGGTGGCATACACCTGTAATCCCAGCACTTGGGAGGCTAAGGCTGGAGGATCGCCATGAGTTCAAGGCCAGCCTGGGCTACATAGTTAATTCAAGGCCAGTCTGAACTAATAGCAAAATCCTGTCTCAAAAAACAAAAACAAAGAAAGAAAAAAGAAATGCCACAAACTGCTGTCACAGACTGCCCCAAATATCACTGAATTGCTTTTATAAAACCCCAAAAAGCCATGTACGATGGTGTATGCCTATAATCTCAGCACCCTAGGAGGCTGAGGCATGTTTGCACCTAGCCTGGACGACTTAGTCACTTAACAAGATGCTGTGCTGAGATAAACTGTAAGATGGCTGGTGATGTGGCTTCATGCAAAGGTCCTGGGTTCAATCCTGAATACTGGGGAAAAAATATTAGTATCTCAGATCTCAAGAAATTCCCCAAATGTCACCAAACCTCCCTCAACTCCACTGCATACCTAAATCCTACCCGCATTCCACTCTCCGACACTTACTATGCCTCTAATTCCTTCTTTCTTGACCCCAACGATATTGCTGCTATGGACAGCTTCTCCCTAGGAGGATGCACCCTCACAGATTTCTCTGCGTCCCTTCTCACCCTGTCCCTCCTCCCCGGACCCAGCGGCCCTCACAGAGGCAGAGCCGGGAGCCCAGAACTCACCAGAACTCACCGTCCTCCTTCCTCACTAGCAGGGCTTCTCGCCACTCCGAGGGCAGTGTATCCCAGCGTGGGCAGCTGAAGAGACAGGTGTGAGGGGCAGCGGCGGGGACACAGCTCCCCACCCACCCAAGGCCCGGCTCACCTGTCGCTCCAGGCCCCTGTCCACTCCACGCGGCCCCACGGGTTCCGCAGCCGCAGCAGCTGCACCTTGGTGAAGCCCAGGGTCACCTGAGGACAGCGTGGTGAGTGGCAGTGGCTCCTGGACCCCCCTGGCAGCTCACCCACGGAGAGAGCTCACCTTGTGTGTGCCTGTGACTGAATATGCATGTCCTTTCACCAGCCCCTCTTCTGTGCGGTACTCACCCCGGTCACTCTGAGCAGAGAACAGGGACAGTGAGCTCCTGATGGACAGCAGGCCCCAACCTCCTTCCACCACAGCAAGTCGGAGCACAGCATGGCACCGCCTGGCCCAGGGCCCAGAAAGGGGGATGAAGGTGAGACAGGAGGGAGGAGATGGAAACGAGACAGGAGGAGAGGATAGAAAAGGGGATGGAGCCGCAGAGACCAAGCTACATACAGACCCGGGAGGCACAGAGTTAAAAAGGTCTCACTGTGTAGTTGAGACTGACCTGGAACTCACTACGTAGCCCACGCTGGTCTCAAACTCACAGTGATCCTCCTGCCTCAGCCTCCCGAGTGCTGGGATTACAGGCATGCGCCACCACACCTGGCTTGGGTTAGACCAATTTAATGAAGGTATGAACCTGGGCATGTGGCAAGTGCCTGTAAACCCAGCACTTAGGAGGCTTAGAAGGATCACCATGGGTTCAAGGCCAACCTGAGCTATTAGGTAGTTCCAGATTAACCTGAACTACACAGAGGCCATCTCAAAAAACCAACAAGGGCAGGGGATTTAGCTCAGTGGCGCCCCCACCTGCCTTGCAACTGCAAGGTCCCGAGTTTGATCCCTGGTACAAAACCAAAACCAAAAACAAAAAAGAAAAGAAAATGAAGACATGACTGTGTGGTGGGGTCTCACAGATGAACACGTGATCCAAGCCAATAAACCCATGAGGATCCGTTCTGGGACTTTTGTTGAAATTCTCAAAAACAGGTGCTGTTTCATTGTTACACTTTACCCCCGGTGGGGGTGCGGGTGCCTGTAGCTGTAGGGGTTCCTTTTTGCACCCATGATGAGAAAGCCTGCCTGAGTGGAACTAACCCAGAACCAGGATGGAAAAAGCAGTTTCGCAATATCTCAGAACACCCACATCCAGCTGTGCCTGAAGCTTGTTTTGTGATGAGAGCAAATAAATTCCTCCTAACACGCTGCAGTTGGGTTTGCAAGAGAGAATGAGTCAGCAGCAGAAGCTGAGGAAAAGACTGGAAGCTTCGTCCGCGCTTGCCCATCCCTATCTGCCCCGCCCCATGAGGCCCAGTGGGCACCAGCTCTCACCAGGGCAGTGGCGCCCACGAGGGACTCCTTGGCCAGGGCATGGCGGAGGGCAGAGAAGAGGCCCGGTGTGTTGCCTCTCAGGTAGAGCACCTCGCCCACGCCACCCGTGAAGTCCACAAAAGCCTCGTTCATGTGGCCGCCTCGCATCACCTCGTAGGAACCGTGGAGCCTGGAGGATGAGGGGTGCGGGTCTTAGATGCGTACGGACCCCACAGCCCCTCCCCAGGCCTAGGGGTCTCTAGCCCTCGATCTGGACCTGTGGGCCACCCCTGGCCATTGGGACTGGAAGGTTTGGGAGCCCTGGGGAGGCCCTGCAGAACTGTGCCTGCGCCCTGCAATGTCTGCGTCAAAGGGGGCACCTGGGGGGCTCGGACATTCCGGACCCTCAGACTGGAAAGGATGACTTGAGGGGCCCAGAGTTACAGCCCATATTTGGGGAATGCTCTGGGTGTCTCAATGGACAACAGATGATCAGAGATTACAGGTCCTCAGAGGGATAAACTGGGGCGGATCATGAGGGTCCTCAGGAACAGGGCTCCTGAACATGGGAGGAAGGAGGAGCCTAAGATCTCACGTCCTCGGGGCATACTGCGGAGTGAAGGCTGGGACGGCTGGGGCTTGGTTCGGGTCCTTGGTCCGTGGGGACCCCATGTGGCTTGAGTTTGCTGCCGGGTCTTGGGTTGCCCCTGGGGGCCCCGGGCCCTCACTTGGCATAGGCTTTCTCCAGGAGCGGGGCCCAGAACTCGTTCCGCTGCTCGGATCGCACGAACATCAGCTTCCCCTTGCGCACAGGCAGCCTGTCGTCCACCACGACGTCCACCCAGCGGCCGAACTGCCAGAGCTGCCAGGGGAAGGGGCAGGGCCTGGGCTTGGCTCCCAACCACTGCCCCGACCCGGGCTTTTGCAGTCCCAGAGCCCTGGAACTATTACAGCCCCAAGAATCAAGGCCAACGATGAAACCCTAAAACCACGGGGGGATGAGGCATGGACAGATGAAGCGAGTTCTACCTGGAAGTGAAAGACACCTGCGTAGCCGTCTCGGAAGCTCTGGCCAGGGGGGACCACCCGGTACAGGAGCCGGGGATACAGAGTGAGGGAGGCGGCGGCTGCAAGGAACCAGCAGTTCCCTGGAGAAAAGGCCGGGGCTGGGTGAGAGGGAAAGGAGAGCCAAGGGGCAGGGGACCAAGGGATGGAGCTGTGAGGGTCCCAGCCAAGACTCCCGGGTCTGGGACTCAAGATGGGCCCAGGGGTCTCACCCAGGCTCCCCTGACACACATCTGTCCGGCTCATGTCCTCGCAGATGAACTGAGGCTCAGTACAAAACTCCTAGGAGTAAAGTGGGCACATGTCAGTCCAGGGAACAGAAGAAAGGGCTGCTGAGAGGGCAGATGCCTGGGTCCACTGTATCAAGGCTCCGTGGTGACAAGGTCTTCCAGCCCATGAAAGTTCATGCAGCCCGGGGGCAGGTGTGTGGCTTCCCTGGGATTCCCTGAATACAGGGTGCTAGGCCTGCTCCCAGCCAAGACCCCCAGCCCCTCCACCCTCAGACCAGGGGTCCAGGCCCAGCCTCCTCCCTCAGACCAGGGGTCCAGTCCCACCCTGCTCCCTCAGACCAGGGGTCCAGGCCCAGTCTCCTCCCTCAGACCAGGGGTCCAGCCCCCCTCCTCCCTCAGACCCAGCCCCGCCTTGCTTTACTCTGGGCCTCTTCCATTCCACCCCTTTAGCCTTCTCCGAGTTTGGCCCCAGCCGGTCATAGCCAAGGGCATCGGGTCCAGCAGGAAAATGGGGGTCACGGAACAGGATTCCCGAATCCATGCAGGCTGCTCTGATTGCTTCATAGCTCTGGCCCCTAAAGGGCTGTGGGTCCAAGGCTCCCGTGCCTGCATCTTCATCCACCAGCTGGATTGTGACCCTCCTGCCGCTGCACGCCATCAGGACACTCTGAGCTGCCAGAGGGCCCCAGGTCCTTTAACTTCCTGAGTCATGGGGCGGGGCTCTCCACCTGCACCCTGTTGGGGGTCTTTAGGCAGTGCACAGCCTTCCATCATTAATATTAATTGATGGTTTGAGGCGCAAGGGAGCAGGGACGCCTCTTCAGTGGTATCCTCCTTGGGGCGTGGGGCCTTCAGTTGTGGCCAGGGCAGCAGCTTAATGGGCTTGACCAGCAGAACAGGGCAACTGGGCAGAGCTGAGGTAGGACAAGCAAGTGTCAAGAAGGAGGTCAGTGTGGGGGTGTTTCTGCCTGCTTGTCTGTGGGGCAGGTGAGGGCAGAGATGGGGAACAAGGCGAGGCCACCTGTCTCCTCTTCTCAGACTCTCTTCACCTGACTGCTGCTCTCCGCCATTTCACCTCTCTCTTCCACTTCAGCCTCACTTTCTCTCTGGTTTTGTCTGCTTGCTTTTGAGATGGTTTCACTAAGTTGCCCATACTGCCCTTGAGTTAGCCATCCTCCCGCCTCAGCCTCCTAAGCACTGAGTTAACAAGCTTGTAAGTGCTGGGATTACAAGTGTGCACCACCACATCCAGCAAAATAATGTTTTCATGAGCCTGCCTTTCCATTGGATGCGTTCAGCAGCAGCATTCACTATATTTGTTGTCACACGTTGTAAAGACACTCATGAAAGAGAGCTTGCAGAATTGCTTCAGAAAGTGGGAAGATTTTCTAAAAAATAAATAATGAAATTTTAAAAAGTGGCAGGAACAATGGGACTAGTGTGTTTAGAGTGGGGGGGAGTATTCTGAGGAATAATGGCAATAGTAACTTTTATTGTAATAAATTTATACATTCACCATATATTTTCATCACCCCATGTATTATCCAAGCCCCTGGCTTCATAGCTCCCAAAGGGCTCATAAAACAGCTGGACATGTTGGTGAATGACTGTAATCCCAGCACTCTGGGAAACTCAGGCAAGGTGATTTTTTGTTTGTGTACAGCCTATGCAACTTAGACCCTGTCTCAAAATTTAAAACTTTAAAAGGCTGTCAGTATAGCTCAGTAGAGGGCCCTGGATTCAAATCCCAACATCAAAACAAACACAAAACAAGTTTGCTTCCACCGAGTTGCCAAGACACGCTCCCTACACACATGAGGCACATGAGATGTTACAGCACATTATCAGGATAGGAGCCAGAGAGCATGAGTCTGATCCCAGCTCTGCCACTTAGAGCTGTGTGTTTGGCGTTGTTACTTAACATCTCTGTGCCTCAGTTTCTTCATCTCTACAATGAGATTGATCAAACCCTTTCCTTGCAGGGTTGTTTTGAAGAGCCAGTGAGTTATGTGGGAAGTGTTCAGAGAAGCACCTGGCACATAGTAGGTGCTCAATAAACTCCAGCTGTTATGCAGCATCCTGAGGTTCCATCCATGGTCCTGCAACTCCTCTGGCACTAAACTGCTGCTTCTGGTACTTGTTTGACCACCTCTGCCACCTGGCTACCTTCCTAGGCCACCAGGTCTCAACCCCTTTCCTTTCAGGTGCCCCTAGATATTATTCCCAATACAACCAAATAGTTAATAAAATCTCATTGACATCTTGGCAGTGACCTATGAAACTGCCTATTCCTTCTCTGAGCCACTTGCTCCTCTGGTCCCCACTTCACAAAGTGCTCCTGGTTCCCTGCCTGCCATCCAGTGGGTCATAGGGTTCTGTTCCATGCCAGAAGCACGTCTTCTCTATCACACCCCACACTGCATCCAGGGTCCCAAGTATGCTTTCCCAGGCTGGTGCAAGACAGACCTCACTGATGAACCTGTAGTGGATGACCTGATGTTTTATTTCTTCCTTCTCCCCCACCCTCAGTACTGGGGAATTGAACCAGGGCCCTCATACTGGGTTACATCACTCCACTTTTCAGACAGGTTTCACCAAGTCTCTAAATTGCTCAGGCAGGGTTCAAACATGTGCTCCTCCTTCTGAAGCAGAATTTAAAGAAAAAATTCTCCCAGCTTTGGGCAGTTCTCCCCACTCACTCTCAGATCACACTCCCACCCCACGCCCGCAGCTGTAACTCCTTGTTCTGGTAATGTCATCTTGTTCTCACAAGATTCACGAGGCTCTGTCTTCTTTCATGGCTAATTTACAAAACTGCCTGCCCTTGTCCTGTTCTGATAAACTCACTTGCTACATCACTAGACAGACCACTTTGACCTAATGTATAAAAACTGGAACCTGTTATCTGTTTATCACTTTTCCTTTAGACAGGAGTCCATTGAGCTGATATTCACCTATAATGAAGTCCTGATTCCCACTGGTCTCTCCTGTATCTTGGAATGTTGCAACATTTCTGGTGACCACAAAGGGACTGGAGATGACAGAGTTGCTGTCTTCTTTGCCTGCAGGCTCAAGAGGGGTCCAAGCTGTGGGAATCCTGAGACCTCTGGTGCCACCAGATAAGACATCAGCTTGGAGAGGGAATCAGCCCTCCCACAGCTTGGAACCTCCCCACTGCCAGCACAATGGAACCTGTTGAGATTCAGGACAATTCTGGAACAACAGTGTGCTACAAGGCCATGGTAAGGTTTTGGGGGCCTACAGGGGAGCCTGTCCCATTAAGATGGAAGGGGAGACTGATCGCCTCTCAGGGTATACCAAGTAATCTGACATGGATTGAGCTAGACAAAACCCACAACCCCAAGTGGAACTTGGGGGTGGCCTGCAGTGAAAGTTACTCTCAACTCGTGGGAGGCCCACAATGAGAGTGACTTGCAAACGGGGAATGGCATGTAGTCAGACTCAGGAAGAGTCTGACAAAAGCCCCACTCAGGTGCATTAAATAGATTCAGGGAGAATCTGACAAAATTTACATTCAGGTTTTTAAAAACTGGAAACAGAGTACATGAGTATATGTAAATAAGTGGAATAAAAAGGCTGGAAAAGTGCTGGAGAGTGTGGAGCTCCTGGCTTTGGGAACCCCAAGGACAATGCCTACTTGGTGTCACTAGCCTGGCACTGCCTAAAAGCCAAAGCAACTCCAGACTGGGGCTGGACTACCAAGTTCAGAGAATTGTGACTGATCCTGCTGGGCATAATGAGGTTTCATGAGAGAAATCAAATTACAAATGTTAACTAATTGATAAATGTACTTTTGACTTCCACTTTGAACTGATGTTTAATTGGTGTACTTAAAACACTTCTTGTACATTGAAAATTCTTGAATTGTAATTACAGGGTTAACTCTGCTCTTTGTTAGTTTAAGATAAGAAAAGTGACTCAAGGTTACTTAGAAGTCTGTTGGCAGCCAGTCAAATTTAAAATGTAACAATCTGAGAACAAAGGAAAAAAAGAGAGAAACAGACTTTAAAATCCAAGCGGCTGTAGGCAAGTTTGTTGTAGAAGGTGTATAGTAAATGAGATGTAAGAAAATACTAAGAAGGCTATAAGATAAGAGATATACTTTTTTTAGATATACTTTTGATATGAGAGGATTTTGTATGATACAAATTCTGCCCTGTTAGAAAGATAGAAAGAGATTAGAGACAAGATTAGAAAGCTTACGTATGTTGAGAGAAAGCCCATGAAGGTAATTTTTCCAAAATATATATATATTTGTTTGTTGGATTGGTAAAAGCCAATGCTGTTCCCTCTAAAAGCTCCTTTTTGCTCAAAAGACTCAAAAATATAAATGGTTGCTTATTAGTTTGATGGAGCTCAGATTATTCCTAAAGCAAAAGTGCTTGAGAGAATAATTTGTGTTGCAACCAAGTAGATTTGGGAGAAAAAGCATTAAAACCCACCCCCATCAAAATGTATGCTTGAAAAAAAACTTTAAAAGAGACTATATGGGGGACTATGGATTAAAGCTGATACCCCCAGAGGTTAAAATTATTTGTGAATAAATTGGCTCTCCTTTGATATGGGGTGGCTGGACAGGGGAACAACTGGAAATATGCATAAAATAATAACCAGAGATGGAGAATGGCCAAGACAATCACTCCCTTTAATCCCAAGGCCACTGAAAATCAGCATATGGTAAATGCTACTTTTGTAGGCCCAGCCCAGGCCTAAACCCCAGTTTAGGCACAAACTACAAAAGTTAGAAGGTTTGCCAATAAAAACGCAACAAAGCTCTTAGAGGTGGCCACCAAGGTGTATACTAAGACTGTGAGGCTAAATAGAGGCTCAAAAAAAGGATCTGTTGATGTCAATGCTTACAGAGAAAAAGACAGAGATCACTAAGGGACAAAAACACAGACATAAACAAAACAGAAGCCAAACCAAGCTGGGATCTGCCAGTCAACCAAAGCTAGACTGGGATTGATGTGCATGATTTAAAAAGTATGGGCACCAGAAAAAACAAATGTCCAGAAAATGATGACAGAGATGATAAAAATTCCAAAACTAGGAAGCCACCTGCTAAAAAGCTATCACCCATGGGAGAAACCAGACATTGACTTCATTAGATTGGCAAGAACTAAAGATTACAAGGACTAGGCCAGACTGGCTCCCTTTCCTTTAGGACCCCCAAGAGCCCATGGACATGTAGGGGGCCAACTGACAGACTTTACGGCAGACAGTAGAGCTGAGCATTCGGTGATGACACAACCTATTAGGCCATTATTCCCCCTAAAATGTGTGTGTGTGTGTGTGTGTGTGTGTGTGTGTGTGTGTGTGTGTGTGTATGACTATTGTAAGAGCCACTGGCGTTCCAGTGAAGAGACTATTTTGCCTATCTAAGAGGTATGCTATAGGGGGCAAAAAGTCTACATGACTTGGCACACAAGATTTCCAGGGTGTAAACTAAGACAACCCACCAGGGCTAGCTATAAGTCAAACACCAGTAATAATAGATCTAATCCTGAGAGCAACTCCAGTTCAATTCACCAATACTCCCTCCCCTGGGAAGCCATACAAAACATTCAAGGACATTTAATGTGTCTCTCAGAACATGGGATGCTGGCTAGATGCCAATCATCCTGGAACACCCAGCTCCTGCCAGTACATAAGCCAGGGACACACATGAATACAGACTGATACAGGACCTGTGTGCTATCCAGATCTGTACAGACTAATGAGACTTACTCCAGCAAGTACTACCTGGTTTGCTCATTGGACTTGAAAGATGCTTTTCTGACTGTGTCTTGCTCTAGTCAGCCAGTCCATTTTTACATTTTAATGGGAAGATCTTGTCACGGACACAAAAAACACAGCTAACCTGGACTAGAATTGCTCAAGGGTTTAAAACTCTCCCACAATCTTTGGAGAGGCACTAGCTCAAAGTTTTCATCACATCAGGGGACAACTGCACCCTGCTACAGTATGTAGATGACTTCCTTCTGGCAGCCCAACCCAAGGGGACTTTTAAAAAATTTTTGGTACTGGGGTTTGAACTCGGGACCTTGTGCTTTTGAGGCAAGCGGCAGAACCACTGAGCTAAATCTCCAGCCTGTCTGAGGGGACTATTAACAAGAAACCAAGTGTGAGAAACCAAAAGTGGAAATAAGGACTGAAATGTACACGGATGTTGGGAAATGGGAAGGGAAACAAGGAAGGAGGGAGGGAGAAAGGAAGGGAAAAGAAAAAAGTGAAAATGGAAGGAAAAAATGGAAGCAAAGCTTTTGTACATAGGAAGGCAAGGGGGGTTGGGGAGGGTGGGGTAAAATAAATTTTACTTTTTACAAAGATAAAAGGGGCCGAGGATTTAGTTCAGTGGTTCTGCCACCTGCCTCGCAAACACAATGGACCAGAGTTCAATCCCCAGTACCAATAAGTAAATAAATAAATAATAAAAAGATGATTAAAAAAAAAACAAGAAACCAAGGATCTCCTTCATTTGTTTTGGAAGACTAGATATAGGTATTCAAGAAAAAAAAGTACAAAGATACAGTGTGGCCCCCAAAGAAGATAACTGTTATACACTGCAGAGGATACTGATGGACTGGAGCATTAGAAACCAGGGAAAGTTAAAAAAAAAAAAAAAAAA